CTCTCTCTCTCTCTCTCTCTCTCTCTCTCTCTCTCTCTCTCTCTCTCTCTCTCTCTCTCTCTCTCTCTCTCTCTCTCTCTCGTGAGCGCGCACGGTGGGTCCTCTCTCTCTCTCTCTGTCTCGCTCTCCGCTGCGCTCCCCTCTCCGCTCCGCACTGCTTTCCACTTTCCGCTCTCCGTTCAGCGAAGTACCTGATCCAACAGGTACTTAGGGGCTCGTTCGACACTCCTTGGGGCGTCCTCGGAGCCCGAGGAAAAGTTCCATTTAGGGCACGCTCACACTAGGTTTGGGGAAATGGGCGCACGTGCGGAGCGGTCAGATGCACGTAGGGACAGCTGTTGGATGCAAAAAAAAAGAAGGAAAAAACAGATTAATAATAACGAATAATTGCATTTCCCATTTGAGGTATCCACAGTGTGACCGGCGCCCTCCACAAGCACCTTGCAGAGAGCCATGTAGCGACCTTGTTGTTACTGTGTTGGGAATTTGGGAATTTGGGTGACCGGCCAGGACCGCATTTCCTCAAAACGGCCGCGCTTAGTGTGACCGGTCAGGGCCGCATTTCCTCAAAACGACCGTTCCCATTTTCCCATTTTTTTGGGAATTTGGGTACCTAGTGTGAGCGTGCCCTTAGTCAAAAGGAAATTTGAAGAGTGAAAAAAAAAAAAAAAAAAAAAAACCCCGAATAAAAAACAAAATTACTTGCCCTCTTTTCATGAACTGCCCCGCTGCTTTGCGGCAAATTTCGGCCGGGAAAGCTTCAGGAAAACCCAAATCGTAGGCCCCGGAGGTGGGAAAGAGAAAAGCAGACCCCACTGCAGCGCAAATTTTCGACAATTCCGTTGGTGCCGGTTACCGGATATGGAAAACTTTCCCTGTACGGAAACTTCACGTCCGCTTCTCTCGGTTCTCACCCAATCCCTGGCCACGGAGTGAACTGCCCCTTCTTTTTCGCGTGAGGGTAAGGGCCGAGCTCTCTTCACGAAAAGGCCGTTTTTCGTACTTTTTCGGCGCCGTTCACTCCCTGGCTGCCACGACGACAAACGTTTCTACTCGCATCCTAAAGTGCCGAACGTTCCGCGGGGATAAAGCGGGGTCCAGACGGCCCGGCCTGCTTTTAGGGTGAAGGGTAGGGGGTCACGGGCTCGCTGCTGTTTCCTGCCGACTTCCAGTGGCGGGTCAAGGGCGTGGTGACACAATTTTTTGGGAGTAGACCGTGGGCCCGAGCCGCCCGAAGAACCGTTTCTTGGGCCGTTGGTAGCCAGAGGGCCTACGGGAGGCCAACCGTTTCTGTGATGACTTAGTGCTAGTTAACGGCCTGCTCTTCCTTCAGATGGCTGGGAGTAAACGCTTGTGTGTTCCCAAAAGAGATTTTTTCAGTAGACTACGTTGGTTTTTTGGTGAATGCCATGATGCCACATGACATTCTGGGTTTGAGAAAACTGCAGGAAACTTGTCACAGAGTTTCTGCTGACCCGCGATGATGGAGGACGCCGAGTTGTGTGCCAAAACAAGCCTCGGACACAGGAGGCGGAGGCGGAGGGAAGGCGGTTGAGCCGGAGAGAGAGAGAGAGAGAGAGAGAGAGAGAGAGAGAGAGAGAGAGAGAGAGAGAGAGAGA